TCGTCGTCATTAGAAAAGATGTAGGAGACCCCGATGCGAGGCCCGTCGTCCCGGTCCACGCCGGTAGGGTCGGCCGTGGGAACTTCCTTGTAACTTAGGTGGGTCAGTTTCTCCACCTGATTGCCCATCACGCTGCGGACACACGTTCACACCGCCGCCAGGGGAGAAGGCGAAACCACCACTAGGGTCATTGGCCCAGGTCCCCGGTCAGGGGCCGAGGCCACCTGTTGGGAGAGGAAGGCAAGGAAGACGTGGAAGCCATGTAGCAGCCTCTCCGTGAAGGCGTTTTGTTATGAAGAGGAGAAAGAATGGGTGGGGGGCAAGCACCTGGAGCCATGTTAGAGGGAGCCTCGGGTGTGGCGAGTCTTCTCCCATTTTTCTACCTCCAGGGTCACGATCACAGGACACGAGGGAACTCCAGCCCTCTCCTGCCCGCAGCCCTTCACCTGGCCTGGGCTGAAGCCCAATGCATCAGCAGCTCCCACAGCTTCCGCCCGCGCCCTACCTGCCGAGCCCGGGCGGAGAGGTGGAGTGGGGACACATAAACTTTATTCCAATTCCCCCTATCCCAACTTCCCCTCCCACCCTTGGGCCCTAACTAGTCCCTGGGATGTCCCCCCACCCCCAACGTCTTCAGCCCCTGGGGAACGAGCGAGGATCCCGTAGCGCGGCCTGGGCAGGTGAGCCACCCTACCTGGCTCACCTGCGGCGCTTCCTCCTCCCGGCTCGCCCGCCCCTCCCCCGCGCGTCCGCCCGCCCTCGGGCTCCGGTTACCTGTGCAAACTCACCCGCAGAGAGGTGGAGGCCGGGGGGAGTGGGGAGGGCCCCCCTTCCGAACCTCGCGACTTCTAGGGCGAGTTTGCAGGTGTGGGCTCCGCAGTCTCTTCTCTCCCGGCGCGGGCGGCACTGAGGCTCGGCAGAGGGGATCGACGCATGTCCTCCCCCCGCGGCTGCGTAGCGCCCCAGGACTTGAAGGTGGAGGGGGGATAATCCTGTTCACACCGTGCCTCTTCCCTTCTGCTGGGACTGCTGGCCCCCCTCAACCAGCTCTCAGGGGAAGTGGGGTGCAAAGAGAAGGAGGGAGCCTCGCTGCCCGGGGGCCGCAGCTCCCGCTCGGGCCGGGTGAGCAACAAGCGCTGGAGCGGGAGGGACCGGATTGTAGATCCGGCTCCCGGGCGGGAGCGCAGCCCGTGGCATTTAAAGAGACAGGCATTCGCTCCCTCAGCTTGGGTCTTTCCCACACGGCGTCCAGCCGCCGGCATCCCCGCCTCCGCCCCGCCCACTGGGGCAACTGGGCCCCGCCCAGGCCACGCCCCTCGCCGGAGCGGGTTTAAATCCTGCTGGTAAATAATCTACCCCCTGGCTGCCGCTGGCGCATGGCGCGCAGGGTGTCTATGCCGGCCACACGCGACCCTGCTGGCCTTCGTCGTTTTCCGAGCTGTGGCCCTAAAAAGTTGGAAGGCAAACACTGGCAGGTAACGATGAGAGGGAAGAAGAAAGAGTTCGTTCTTCCTTGTCCCTTATGCCTCTTCCGGAGAACTTGGAGAAGGATGAACAATTAATTAGACTCCTGCTTCTCTTTTCTTTCCTAGAATTCATTTCTTGCCCGAAAGGTCACGGGAAAGGGACTCTACCGGGACAACTCAAGAAGTATTAACTTAGAAGTGTTTCCAGAATAAGTAATGTGAAAATGTGGGGTAGGAAAAAACATTAGCAGAAAGGAAACAGTAAAACAGAACTAAGGCTCCCAAGACCAACCCTCTATTAGATGTAGTAAAACAGAACGAAGGCTCCCAAGACCAACCCTCTATTAGATGTCCTTCGAAGTTAGTACAGAGTTGCACAACCTCCGTTGTTGTTTCCCAAAAGGTACAGTTCCTAGTAGAAAAGCGCACAGCTCTAGCTACTTTTCTTGGGTTAGATAAGAATTGCCTAATTGTCCTTAAAATAGAAACAAATTAGCGAGAGGCCCCTGGTTAATATGTTTCCTTCCTCCAGGGTTAGGGAAGTGAAGGGTATTGCCTATTTAACTACCGCAGGTAGCACCCCACCCCTCCCCCCCACCCACCGATTTCAGGTCTTGTACCTAAGAGGTAGACTCCTGAAGAGTGCTTTATTTCTTTTTAAATGATGGGTCAGGATGGGGGGGGGGAGTTCACAGCTTCATTTACAATACACAAGCTAAGGCTCTCACATGCTGGCGCCCAAAGTAGTTTGTAGTAGACTTAAGAATGCAACTCAAGACCTGTACCCTGTTTTCCACCACTGTTTCTTTTGACTAAAATTTTCCAGGTAACACTATTATTTATTCAGTGTGTGTACCAACCAGTGGAAACAGGGATATACTGACACTACTGTGATGCTTTTTAGTTTGAGAGGGGGGGAAATCAATCTACGTATGTACTTCTGAGCCGGAACAATCAATACTGGCAAGAACTGGGATGGAAGGAAGTTAGTCCTTCAGCAAGTCTAAGACCACAGTAGAAGTTAGACCAAAATGAGATTTGTTTCTGTAGAGCAGATTAAATTTAAATATTTTCAGACCACCTCAGGCACAGGTGACTGAATGAATACCACCTCCCCACCCCCAGATGTTTTGAGCCACCTGCTCAATGCTACTTGTCACTGCTCTGTGAGCTCACAGAAGTCTTAATTTATTTTTTTTTTCAGAAAGATTTTTGCTATAGGGCACATATGCTCACCAGAGAGACACAGAAAGTGAGAAATCACCACTCAGCCGGGAGGGGGGGATGGACACTCCACAATCCCTTCTCCATTCTCCTGCCAGGATTATGGGTGTACATACACAGGGTCCTAGCATGAGTCTTTAAGATGCTGGGTGCAGGACTTGAACTGTGGTGGACCATGTGGGAGTCCAGTGATGTAACCATTATGCTATGTGCTGGTCACAGCTCATAGAAATTTTATAGAGGGAACCAGCAGTTAGCGAAATGGCTGTCGCTGGACTCCCACGTAGTCGACCACAGTTTACGTCCCGGACCTGGTGGCTTAAAACTCACACCGGGCGCGTGTGCATGCGTGCCCAAGATCCCGAGAGGAGAATGGAGAAGGGATTGCGGTGTGACCATCTCCCCTGGGGGGTGATTTCTCGCTTTCTGTCTCTCTGTCTCTCTCTGTCTGTCTGGTGAGGAGTGGTGGCTCCCTGTAGCAAAAACCTCTCCAAAAAAAAAAAAAAAAAAAAGGGAATTTTATAGAGAAGAGTTAGACTTGGTGCGACAGTGTCTGGTCCCCCTATGTCTGTCAGACGGGGACCTCTCTGCCACTTCGGGCATGGTAAGCCGCTTTGCCCCTGTGTGGCACTGGGCGTGTTGGCCGTGGGCAGGAGAAACTGTAGAAGGACGCAGTGGTGTGACCGTTTGCTGCCAGCACTCTGAGTCAAAGAAAAAAACTGATGTGAAAACAATGTCTAGGGGAACCAGCAGTTAGCGTAATGGCTATGTCGCTGGACTCCCACGTAGTCGACCGCAGTTCGTGTCCTGGACCCTGTGGCTTAAAACTCAACGCCGGGCACGTGCGCGTGCGTGCCCAAGATCCCGAGAGGAGAATGGAGGAGAAGGGATTGCGGCGTGACCATCTCCCCTGGGTGGGGATTGATTTCTTGCTTTCTGTCTCTTTGTCTCTCTCTCCCGCCCCCTACAGGGAAAAATCTCCCCCAAAAAAAAAAAAAAAAAAAAACCAATGTCTAGTTCTCTAGGTGTCTCGAACTCTATTCGTGGCAGTGGCTCAATATTCCTTGAACTGACCAACCCACAAAGTCCCAAAGGAACTGGCCCTTGGTCATCTTTATGTCTGATCTTGGCGATAGATCAAGAATTACTTCCTGGTTTTATAAGGGAGTGAGTGAGTGGAGACTCGGTGCTTCTGGATGGTTGGCCCCTGGTGCAGATTCTTCCATTACTGCCTGTCTAGAGTTCTGGTCACTTAGGCCATCAGAGGTTACCAAATGGCTCCCAAGCATGCTTTGCTCATCTTAAAACTGTTTCATGAAATTAAGTCATTAACAATTTGAAAATGTGGACGGTCTCATATAAAAATTCAGATTTCTAGCTTCACTGGAGAACTCTAAAGCTATGAGACCATCATGGTTATGTTCCAAGATGGCGGCAAAGAGCTAGAACTGAGCGGTGGTTGTGTCGGTGAGAGGTGGTCTCAGTGTGGCCTCAGCCTCTGTCCGGACCACCTCAGCCACCGCAGCCCCTCGCCTGGCCCTAGGAGTCTCTCTCTCTCCATCACCCAATATACACACTACACATTTTATCACATGGCTGTATGTAACCCAGCACTTGATCATGTGCTACCTGTATTATCCTCTAATTCATGAATTTTTCTAAGAAGAACCTTATTCACAATGTTTCTTGAAGCTGCTTGTTTCTAGGTAGCCGCTAGTGTTTTCTGCCAAGCTTTCATTCTATAGCACAATGGTTACAGTTCTAGGTTTTGTTAGATGTTTACATCCTCGTGAAGCTCAGCATAGTGGGGCAGACAGAGAAAGAGATTCCTTAGGACACTGTGACATGTCCAGTAAGAAGAGGAAATACAAGATGCCGAAGGGATTAGTGGGTACAAAAATGAAAGACAAAATATCTGTCATCTAGTGGAGGACAAGATGAGACAGAGAAAACCCTATGTTTGAGAGCCATTTGGTAACCTCTGATGGCCTAAGTGACCCTAGGGAGGATGTACCCTAGACAGGCATTAATGGAAAATCTGCACCAGGGGCCAACTAACCAGCAGGGTCCTCCTGCTGCCTGGTCCACCTGCAGCCTTCCGTCAGCCTCAGGTTATGGGTAAGCGTGTCATGACCGTGTACTCAGGGAGGTCTCTGACCTTGAACCAGGAACCTTTCCATGTGGGATTGTTCCATAAAGTGTCAAGCATCACCATTTAGCACTGTACCACCATCTGTCCCACTCCCATTCTACAATATATAACAAAAATTTATTTAAAATATGTAACACATTTTGAGTAGCTGGTTTTTACCAAGTTTTCAGAATACACACATGGACATAGCAGACAAAGAAACTCTTTTTATGGCATTTTCATGTTGATGGGCGTAGAACAGTGATAAGTAGGTAAATGGGTAAGTATATCAGAGGGAGGGGAACTGACCCCATAGCCTAGTGGTTAAGGAAATCAGATCCCACATGGCTAACCACAGTTTGAATCCTAGCCCTGGTGGCTTGAAAAACATGCCAGGTACATGTGTGTGCATGCCCTAACTCACAACAGGATGGAGAATTGGGGGAGAGGGATTGCAGTATGACACCCCCTCCCACATTGGATGGTGCTTTCCCTTTCTCTCACTTTCACTCTTTCACTCTCTTGTGAGTGCATGTATCTTCTTGCAATTAAGAAGAAAAGAAGGAGAATATCCAAGAGGGGGAAAAACTGAAATAGGGAAATAGGATTGAACGACATCACTCAGTAGAGAAGGGCAGAGTGGTATTGGGTAAGACGGTCAAGGAAGGAGCCCTGAGGAAGGGAGCTGGAGCCTGGACTGGAAGGATGAGAAAGAGCTGTTCTTGGCATTCCCTCTAGAGGGTAGACCGTGAGCAAAGACCGTGATGGGAGATGCAGGCCGAAGTGCAAAAGCCTGTGGGGAAGGTGGACTTCAGGAGGAAGAAAGGAAACAAGCCCCACTGAGAGCAGCATTGTGTTGTTACTTTTTTTTTTTTTGGAGAGGTTTTTACTATAGGGTATATGCACTCGCCAGAAAGATAGAGAGACAGAAAGCAAGAAATCACCCCTCAGGGGGATGGCCATGCCATAATCCCTTCTCCTCCCTGGATCTAGGGCACACACGCACATGCACCCGGCATGAATTTAAGCCACTGGGTCCAGGCCTTGAACCATGGTCGACTACATGGGAGTTCAGCAACATAGCCATTATACCATCTGCTGGTCCCTGAGAGCCGCATTGTGAAGAGGACAGGTGTTTGGGGCAGATAGAACCCAATGAGCACCTGGAAAAGCCTGTGGAGGTGCCTTCTCCGAGAACAATCGTTTGATAAAGAAATGTTAGCTGGATTTGCATTCTCAGCTATTCTGTCACTTCTTCCCCTCAGCAGTGACCCAAGGGTCACATCCCCCACACCTGTCAGAGGAGGCATTCAATAAAAACAAGTTATGTTGAATGCCACTTAGTCACTCTTACAGCATTCCTGTCCAGACCAGAGGAGAATAATGGAGAATTGACGTTTTTAC